CGAAAGGTTGCGCTCTGAAAGGATAAGGGCATTTTCATTTGTGATAAACTTTTACCCTAACCTGAGTGCAATCGGTGTGAGTGCACACCACCTTTCGTTTTGCGTTTTCTGTCGTCTCAAAACTTTTCAATTTCGTAGCATGCTTCATGATTTTGTGTTCATGTCCTTTGAGCTGCGGTGAACACAGTCATGAGTGAGTGCTGCGATATTGCATAGCGATTCTGATGCCAAACTTTATTTCCCGGTGGGAGTTTGGGCTGAAGCGCTGGGTAGGACCTACAGAGGTCTTTGAAACACCCGCCCAACCCACCCCAGGAGTGATGCTACAAATCTCAAAGAATGCACTTGGGACCACAGGGGTCTCGAGAGCGGGAGCGCCGAGGGGTGCATACCGCTTGGTGCGTTCGCATCAAAGGATGCTCAATGCCGAGCATCGCCCTGACTTCTCGTCCCCCGTCTGCTGGAGTGAAAATGAAGGAAGAGCGTACGGCTTTGCATTGTTCGTGTTCTGACAGTGTGCATGTGAGTGAGTGCTGTGAGCATGACGTGTGCGCTTGAACATCGAACCTCAAACAAACTTTGTTTTACTTAGGCAAGAAAGTTTGTTTTGTTTTGCTACTTTGTTTCGCTCTGTTTTGTGACGAGCGGTCAACTGCATTACGAAAGGTTGCGCTCTGAAAGGATAAAGGACGGCCAAATCCCGAATTTTCAGAGATCCCCACAGGAAAAGCGGCACAAACCTGATCACGGCTGGATGTCCTGAGGCGAAACAAGTGCTATCTTCCGGGCAGTGTTTGCGTCTTGCTTCTGTGCAGTTACATGTCAGTCTGCATGCATGTTCGAGTGAGTGCTACATGAGTGAGTAGGAGCTGTCTGCGCTTTCAGTTTGCATTCGCATGTCATCCGAAGGTCTGCTGAACAACATGATTTCCTCAGGGCGTTGGAGCTTCAAGCTGTGTGTAGCTAGGGAGACATGTCTGCATGTTTGCACAGAGGTACCTTCACGTCACATGTGAACTTTGATTGTGACATGGGCACAAAGACTTTCAGAGTAATTTTAGCTTTTCAGAATGGACTGTCAGTGAGCTCCAGCTCTGTCCGGGTTGTCACACCCACATCTCAGCGACCGGGTTATCATACCCACATCTCAGCTCCGTGACTGTGCGTCTTCTTGGGAGCCATTGGAGCTCCACTTCAGTGCACCGTCCGGCGACAGTTGCGTCGTGTGATTTCAGATGGCAACGGATGAAGAGAAACGGGCGGCTGTTGCTCGTGCCAATTCAGATCTCCAGTATGTACTTCAGGAGGCAGGAGCAGATCTGACGACCCAGTTTAACATCTGCAGCCTGCATACGACACTCAGGCGTTTCCAAGCGATCGCGGACACGAGAGCCGAAGCCAGGACCGCGGCCGCACGTGACTTCGGCTGCGATGCAAACACGGCAGCCGGGAGGCAGCAACAAGCTGCGGTTGTAGCTTCGTGGGAATTGGCGAAAGAGGTTTCAGCCAAAGAGGTAGAATTGCGCGCCGAGGCAAAGGTTTTAGGCCAGCCGAGGGTGCTTCAAGTCCAGGAGCGTCAAGCTATGATCGCAGCAGTGACAGCAGTGCATGGCTCTGAAGGCCGAGGAATGCGAAATCAACGAGCCTTCTGCGTCACCTCTTGATTGCATCAGTGCCAAGCGCGATAACTTAGAGAGCCAGCTGCAAAGCACTGTCGATGCCCAGGGGCATATCCGCATCACCAAGGTCAAGCATAAGCTTGAGGTCCCAGTCAACAGCGAACATTACAGGCGCATCATGAAAGTGGAGATGTATGCATGGCTGGCCATGGCTGCAAGGTTCAAGGCGAAGGCGTGGCGCCAGGGTCTGACTGTGACTCCTTTCTTGAAATTCACTGATTACATCTTAGGTGAGAAGGTTTCGCAGCTTAAGATTCCGACCGCCCAGGGCAGCGACCAAAGTGCAGGTTTTCGTCCACCCTGGACGACTGTCTTGGCGTATGAGTTTCGTCTGAGGAAGGAAGCCTTCAGGTTGGTGAATGAGGAAGGAGAAACCTTGGCCGAAGCCCTGACCAAGGTTTGCAAGGATACCGAGCTGAAGGAGGTGTATTACACCACGCCGTTGGCTTTGGCCAGTGCTGAGGGGAGTGTTCGCAAGTACTGTAAGGGTGCAGGGAAGGATCACAAGGGAGGCAAGAGTGACCAGGCCACTTCATCAAAAGGGGAAGGGAAGCTCAATAAGGGCAAGACTTCCGATAGCCAAGGGTACGGTGGCAAAACCCCTGGGGTCTTCGCAGGCTTCACTTTGCTCAGCCACACCCCGGACGGACGCCAGATTTGCTATGCCTTTAACTCTGCAAAAGGGTGCAAGGGCAAGTGCGGCAGGGTACACATATGCCGCGTGAAGGGGTGCGGGAAGCAGCACGGGGTGCATCAGCACCCGGGTGTCAACAAGGATTCCACAGGTGGCACTGATCAGAAGACGAATGAGTGACTAGCAGGTGTGTTGCATGTGTTCAATGGTCCTGACGACCGGATTCGCCTTAGGGAAGCCCTTACCAACCTCGTGCCTGGATTGCAGCTCGTGGAAGTTGACATAAGCTGTGGTCGGGGTTCAGAAGGGGATAAAGATCCTCAAGACGCATGGGACGAAATTCGTGAAACAGTTTGCAAGGGTAGGTGGCTGCTCTATTGCACCTTGCCTGCCAGGACATTCAGTCGGGCTCGGCACACCCGTCCGGGCCCTCCACCGCTTCGGAGCCTGGAACATCCTTATGGTTTTCCATGGCTTCGACAATCATTTTCACAGCAAGTTAAACTTGACAATGACTTCATCTTTCAGGCCGTCGAAAGTGCGATTGCATGTTACGATCATGGTAGCTACTTCGTTTTAGACCACCCAGAACAACTTGGCAGGGCATCTGACAATGCCGTCCCGGCCACGCCCTGGGAC